AAGAGTGACCAGTACAGAAGTCTGAAGGCAGGAGAATGAGAATGTGATTAATCTAGTCTCATGCAAACAAAAGCAGATTTCGGTGTTAAAAAGAAGAGAGAGAGAAAAGAAAACTAGGGGAAGATATGCAGGAGTAGAACATGGAAACTCTTTGGGAGTGTGAGGAGAGAGAAAGTATTGAAATACAGATGTGTCATTTCTTTTTAGAGAACTTTAAATTCCATTCTGAGGGTTTTGGACTTTAGTATGGGTGCTAGTAGGGAGCAGCAAGATATGGGGCTTGTAGTTAGAAAGATGTAATGACAACAATGTGAATGAATAGGAAGGAAAGGAGGCAGAGGAAGCCACTTAGACGGCTGTTGGGAGAGTTCGGGCAAGAGGCCTTGCATCTGTGCTGGGGCCCTGGGGAAGGATAGGGCCATGGGATAAGGAGCCTACGGAAGTAGAATTGGCAGGATCCAGTGACTCACTTTTTGTGGGGTGAGGAGAAAGAGATGGATTTGCAGCTGAGAAACGAGGAGACGAGACGATAATGCCACTGAGAATGCGCAGTAGGGGGAGGAAGTTTGGGAGGGAAGACGGCAGCTCTTTTGCATCTGAGGCACTCATGAGACCTCCCTCCAGAGGAAGTGTTCACATGCCAGCAGATTTTTGGGCCAGGTTAGCAAGTGTGCCCGGGCCAGAAGCAGATAGAGGAGACTCTGCATAGAGACCTGGTTGAAGACAGAGTAGGAGAGATGGCCAGGGAGGTGAAGAACTCACCTTTGGGAAGGATTAAATTTCAGGCTAAATAACGAGAGGAGCCAGTGACCGAGAAAGGAGGAGAAATGGAAGAGACAGGGATGTGTCATCAGGGAGAGGGGAATTGTCAGGAACATTGTAGATGGTCACCTGCCTTCACAGTGCAGAGACAGTGGATGCTGTTTGTTGACGGACAGGTTGAAGGCAAATTTTAGGTGTGTAGATCCTCAGGTGGCATATGTTGGGCTGGCTGAAGTGGGGCCACTAGGCGATGAGGAAATTTCATGGACGTTTTG